TGCAATCTATAGCTCCAATACATCGTTCGAATGGGTACCAACAGGTGCGGAACTTTTCTTTCATTAAGTTTCGTCCGTGCGTTGTTCTAGGGAATTTTACCCATTATTTAAAAGCACGTCTTACCTATACTTGACTAATTTGTTACCCGATAGGTCTTTGAAAACAACAAGCATTACGAAAGTCAAAGGGATCTTCTATTTGTAGAAGAATTCTTCTTTCTTCCGTTCGTATGTTATGATGGGCTCTATTTTCAAAACACAAACCAATATGCTCAAACGACTTACTAATTTTGATAAATAATTTGTAAAAATATCCTTAAACAATTGTTTTTCTTTTAAATTGCCGTTTTGGTTGTTACCGTACCGGTAATAGTTACCGATAGTTTGTGCCGACAAACTTCGTTAACATTTGAACAGAGAATAGCACTTATCGACAAGTATCTTTAACTTCCGGCAAATGTTGTTAATTTTGTCGTTCATTTCTGGTCTTCAATTTAAATAAAATTGGGAATATGTAACATTTTTTAACTAATATGTATGTAAGCAGCTAAAGATGCATCTGGAAAATAATCAAATACATAGAAAATTTAATACAAAGAAAACATATTTAAAATGTCAGCAGGAAAAAAGTACTTATCCCATTGTTTTTCAAAAATACTTTCATAACTCTTGAGGCAACAACATACATATGACTACAAAAAATACAAACATTGATAAGAAATAAGTAAAAAAACATACAGTTCGGCTAGGCCGAACTTTTAATACCCTCCACCTTAGGGTAAAGGAAACATTTTAATGTGAAAATACCTGAATTCAAGCGTGTTTCACTTTAAACTTCATATACCAGTAAGACCGTTTGGATAATGTTGTTTAACTTATCAAAAGCCACCAAGTAATTTACTAATTTTGTTAAAAAATTTGTAAAAACATCCTTAAACAATTGTTTTTCTTTTAAATTGCCGTTTTTGGGTGTTACCTTACCGGTAATAGTTACCGATAGTTTATGACGACAAACTTACCGACAAGTATCGTTAACCTCCGGCAAATCTTGTTAATTTTTATTGTCATTGTTAATATTTGACTCACCAAACACGGTATGTATTTCCAATTTCAATGAAATTTGGAATACTGATGATAGCGCATAGTGCCCGTATAACGTTACCTATGATTAAGGTTATTTTTAAGGGTTCGGAAGAAATTTCCGAGTATATGAATTTCATATTTTCAATTCACTCCACTATTTTGTATAGTCCGCATATTACAGTGCCTCTTCATATTCGGTATTTCACTGATTGAAGTCCCAATGAATTTTGCATTTTGAGTTCTCCATGGACGGATTATTTCCATATGTAATCAAAATTGAAAATTTGGGTATGGCAACCATACAACAGCATGTAAAGAAAATATGCAAACTTTCTCTATTTTTTCGTTTTTTTTTTTTCAATAAGAATTTCCAATTCCAAATGGCATTCTGAAACAATTCTACACAAAATTCCATATCATAAAAGAAAAGTAATTTTTTTCAATTCCGCGATTTTTTTCAAAAATTTCTTTCATGAAAACGTTTCCACAGTAATCACAAATAACCAAAAGAAAATTTGAGTCAAATCGGCCCAGCCACTCTCAACTGATGCGTTTCTATACTTTTTCAAATTTTTTACATATAAATTAAAAAAGTAGATGTGGCCAGTTCCTCTGACCGCAAACAGATACCTAGGGTTGGAGGGAGAATCAAGATTACGTCGTATACTAACTGTGAAACAGATATCTTCATGATTTTGGCAAATATTAGGATTTTAGATAAATCGAAAGAATTGGCGCAAAATTGGGCGTGGTCACTTTTTCTTTGTATAAAACCGGGGTAGGACGAACAAAAAAATAAAATATCCAAATAGTTTCAGCCGGTCTCAACTGATTCAATCACTGACGAACAACAATTGGTTTATATATAGATTAAAAAGTTGGCGTGGTCAGTTCCTCAGCCCCCAAATAAATACTTAGGATTGGAGGGAAAGTCAACAGTAAGTCGTGTAATAATTTTAAAACCGTAACCTTCATTATTTGGCAAATAAAAGGATTTTAGATAAATCGAAGTAGTGGGCGTAAAAGTAGGCGTGGTTAATATTTTTTCTTTAAAAATATAATTCGGGGTATGACGAACGTTTGTACAAAAAAATTATGCAAATCGGTTCAGCCGTTCTCAACTGATTCCATTACTAACGAACAACAATTGATTTGTATATATATAGATTAAAAAGAAGTCGTGACCAGTTCCTCAACCACAAATAAGTACTTAGGGTTGGATGAAAAGTCAACAGTATCTCGTGTAATAATTTTCAAACCGATATCTTCATTATTTTGGGATATATAATGATTTTAAATAAATCGAAATAGTGGGCGTAAAAGTAGGCGTGGTCAATATTTTGTTCTTTAAAAACCTAACGCGGGGTATGAGAACGCTTGTACAAAAAATTATGCAAATCGGTAAGCCGTTCTCAACTGATTCCATTACCAACGAACAACAATTGATTTTTATACCCTACACCAGAAGGTGGTCAGGGTATTATGTACATTTGTTTGTAACAGACTAAAGGAAACGAGATAGACCCATAGTTCCTTTCGACGATCTGCAAAGAATCACATTCTGAGTCGATTTATTCATGTCCCCAAAAGTCCCCAAAGTCAACAGTATCTCTTGAAATAATTTTCAAACCGATATCTTCATTATCTTGGCAAATATAAGGAATTTAGATTAGTGGACGTAAAATTAGGCGTGGTCAATATTTTTTCTTTCAAAACTTAACTCGGGGTGTGACGAACGTTTGTATAAAAGTTATGCAAATCGGTCCAGCGTTCTTAACTTATTGCATTACCAACGAACAATTGTATATTTATATATATATATATATATATATATATATATATATATATATATATATATATATATTTATATATATATATATATATATATATATATATATATATATATATATATATATATATATATATTTATATATATATATATATATATATATATATATATATATATATATATATATATATATATATATATATATATATACATAAATATGTATTGTGCACTCTAAATAAATAAGTTGAAACAAATACAAGAATAAACCAGAAAACAAGGAAAATAGCAATTTGCTGAACACCTCCAAATTTGTAGATTGACTATAGTCAAGCCAACATTGTTTATTAAAGTTAAGGTTTTTTAAAGAGAAACGCTAACCATTTACAACTTATATTAGGTTCTTAAAAATATTCATTACACGCTAATACTATGGGCCAGCAACGCGGTCTTGGTAAGCTAGTGTATATATATATATATATATATATATATGTATATACCAATTCTCAACCAATTTCAAAGTAATTTGGCAAACTTATTTTTGGAACGAATTTGGTACTTTTCAAAAAACTAAAATCCGTTAAAAATTGTGTTAAAATCTTAAAAATACTAAATGTATACGAAGACATGGACCTGCACAGACATTCTCCTGTCATAGGCTGTAGTATGCATTACGAACTTCAAATACCAAATTTGAACCAATTCTGGCGAATAATGTCTCTAAAATCATCAAAGTACCGAATATCGGGAGGTACCGTTATATGGGGACTGTATCAAAACGTGAACCTACATGGTACATTTTCAATACCAAAAGTCCTGCAGACATAATATACATTTGCGTAAAATTTTATCAATCTACTGTAGTTCGTCCGGAAGCTAGATTGATTTCCACAGACGCTAAAGCGACATAGAATTTTATGCTGATCAAGAATACATATACTTTGTGGGGTCTAAATGTATATTTCGAGGTGTCACAAACGGAATGACAAACTTAATATACCCTCCATACTATGGTGGAGAGTATAAAAAGTACAAAATTTAATTGAGGGCATGATTATAACTGGAAGGTAGGTTGCTACCTCGAATTCTCATATTTATAATATATATATATATATATATATATATATATATATATATATATATATATATATATATATATATATATATATATATATATATATATATATATATATATATATATATATATATATATATATATATATATATATATATATAAATCAATTGTTGTTCGTTGCGAAATGAGAACGGCTACACCGATTTGCATAATTGTACAAACGTTCGTCATACCCCAATTTAGGTTTTACAACAAAAAAATTCACCACGCCTACTTTTACGCCCACTATTTCGATTTATTTAAAATCCTTATATATCCCAAAATAATGAAGATATAGGTTTGAAAATGATTAGACGAGATACTGTTGACTTTTCATCCAATCCAATATATATATATATATATATATATATATATATATATATATATATATATATATATATATATATATATATATATATATATATATATATATATATATATATATATATATATATATATATATTTGGTAAAAAAAATTAATATATGATATTGAAATCGGTTCAGATATAAATATTTTGCCGACCTCATGCATTTGATGCACCAAACTCGCTATATATCTCAAATTTCATTGAAATGTGGCAGTTGTGACGGAATTTGGTCTAAAAATAAATTTAAATTAAAATATTTTATTAAGGAACATAGACCCAGCAAATACAGTTAATAGACAGTTTAAGGTTACTGCTCTTTATCAATATAATATAAATAGTCTTTATCAGAATAATGCAAATACTTTGTGAACATTTACACTTTAAGGTGTTCCTTTTTTTTAGCGGATAAAAACTTTATATTTGATTACTTTTTCTTTACAGGTAAATACAACTAAAGACCTACAATATACTTCCTTGTTTGTTATGAAATTAAATGATTCATTTGTCATGAAATAAGGGATTAAACCAGTTATTGAAAAAGGTTTTAGAGTTTGTTTTCAACCCTCTTCCTACACATGCGCTTTATTTAGACATTGAACATTATTCCTACCCCCATTTGTATTTTTATGAAAGGATTTTGCGCAGATAAAACTATCTCCTAATATTCGTAAGATATGTAACGTTTTCAGATACTATAAACGAAAAATTAATTAAAGCTATACCGTGAAATATAAAAAATCGAATCAAAATAGTTGCGTGATTTTACTATGTAATTCAATATTCCTTATAGTTGGTATATGCCTGAGGTGTGTTTGTATAGTAAAGGACAGTATTTCTTCTTTATTTATTCCAAAATGTTTTTCTAAGTAAAATTATTTTTTGTTTAAAAAGTATACTATTCAATTGATAATAAAATCAAGCGAGGTGAGTTTGTAATATAAAGTAAATAACAAAAAGGTATATAATGTTACTTGTCTGTCATTGCAATGAAATTATGCACAAAAGTATAATTATAATAGTAACAGGAAAATGTATGAACAAATTCTGATGGATTCTTTGAGTGAAAAATGAGACGGCTCTCAAAACATGTACAAATATGATGGAAAACTTGGAAGGGCCGAACATTTTAATGCATTCCACATTACACTTTTTAAAAAAGCCTATAAGGTCTAGTATTTGAACGGTGCATATAATATCTATTACAATAATAATTAAAAAAAAAAAAACAAATATCGGATGTATCGTCATATAGGGTTATATGGAAACTTGGGAGCATTCCACTATTTTACTCAAAAAGTGGAATAACGCTAAATAGGTGTGATTTGGGTTGGCAATTATTTTTTTTTATTTAATTTATAAATTTGTATGAAAGTTGACTGTTATATTATTTTTTGTGTAAAACTCTTTGGATGTCATGAAGTCAAATTTCAATCTATAAATTAAAATTCATTTTCTTCAAAACTGATTTTTTAAATGTTATACATTTTGAGTAAATAAGCAATTCTAATTCAATTGAAAAATGTGCAAAACTCATCGAAATACCGAATATCGAGTTGTACCGTTATATGGGAGCTATACTAAAACGTTGATCTTGCTGGATAGATGATTATCTGGCAAAGAAAGTGACACCTGTTACGAACTTTAAATACAAAGCTTTAGCGAAAATTGCTTAGATACTGATTATAGAAGAGATATTGTAATAGGGGTCTACATCTGAATGAGGACTAATATGAACGGTTATTGTCCGATGCGAAAACACAAGGTCGATTAACAGAAATTTTAGCCGCCAACAATAGAAATAGAAACTAGACTGATCAAGAATATATTATTAGTTTATAAATGGAATATGTAAATTAATGAAAACAAATTATTCTATCTATACATACATATTTAATATTGCAAATACAAGAATAAAAGTCCGCTACATGTTTAGTTATTAGTTATAATCAATCGTGTTAATAAAAATGAAGAATATGCTATTTATATATCTATTTTTGATTTCTATTCTAATTTGTAGCAAATCATCAACGATGGGGACTGTCTTGAGTATTAACCCAAAGGATCGTCATAACCCGATTTACTCTGGTCAGCACTACTTCCAATACCGGCAGCAAAATGAATTGAAAAAAGAATACAATACTGACAATACCCACTCAAATGAGTCTCAGCTGAACAATTTCACATACGAACAACTAAATAATGCAAAAAATCGAGAAAACAGAAAAAGTAATTGTTCGCATATTTCAAATAACGGTAATAACAACCACAACGTCTGTACCAATCTGAAGTTGAGCAATTTAAGTACGAACAATCTGCACCAAATAAACAATAGCACTAAGGATACCATAAATAATGAACTAGATATACACAATGAAAACTCTATAATATTAACAGAAAAGAGTACGTTAGAGAAAAATTTAAAAAAACACTCACTGTTTATGAATGCACTCTCATGGAAAAAAATTTCATCACACAGCAAGAAAAAAATTGAAAATAAATCTAAATGTTCGAATTTTCCACCATCGAACTGCAAGTCACAGTTTAATGAACAAAATTTATCTTCAGTGGGCGATAAAAACAAAAATGCACGACATAGATTTATATATATGGAAGAACACCAAGCTTTTAACCCAGAAGTTAGTCAAGAGACATGTTTGCGTTATTTGTCATCAAACAAAGACAAACTGAAAAACACTTTGGACATTGTGAAAGTTAATAATACAAATAACGTATCCAACTACAACAAGTTAGTACAAAAACAACCTCTTGCAATATCTTTACCAACACAGTTACAATCATCAGCTCTGCAAACAAAAATAAATAATAATGGACCTCGGAAAACTGTAATACAGGTAAGAATCTATTTTGCTTCATACGAGTAATGAAAATGCTGTATGTTTGGAGTACATGTTATTCGTAGTTTAAAAGAAGAAACCAGTAAAGAAAGTCTTAAAGTCGGGCGGGGCCGACTTCACATAACAAATAAGAGTTCTAATGGGGAATCTGTGAGAATTAAATCTTACCAACTATGATTATAGTTATAATTTAAAGTCCAAAGGAATTATATATTAGAGGAATAGCCTCCTCTGAATAGATATCTACTACATTTGCCGAGGCATTGGTGCCTTTTTAAAACGGGCTTGTATTACTCATTTGTTGCACAATTAACTTGAAATCGGATAAAGATATATATAGGAGCTATATCGAAATCTGAACCTATCTCGATAAAAATTTGCAAAGGTTTTTCTGAGTTGTATTTGATATATTTCCCCAAATATCGCTGTTACAGCGGAAGATAAAAATAACAAAGCGGATGAACAATATACATGGGAGCTATTATTAGTTATTAGTTATTTCTAAACCGATTTCTATCAAATTTGTCATACTTATTTTCAGGCCCAATGTGGTCGTATGTGCAAAACTTCATACTATTTTGGCTGATATTTCACATTTGGTGCACAATAAAATGCAAATCGAACGAATATATATGTGGGACCTATATCAAAATTTTTGTATTCATCCTTAGATTAAACAAATTATTTGTTTAACATAATATAAGATAAATGTACTAAAACCCCAAAAATAATAAAATAGATACAGTCGTGAAAATTATAAACATATGCATAGACTACACTAAAATAAAACCGTGGGGAACATCAATTGTCTTAAACATTGCAACGTATAAACCCGTTTAACTTAAAAAGTCTTTTTACCTTTTTTATTTTGTAGTTTCTAGTTTTTATTTCGCATTCTGTTTAATTCATTTAGAGCTTCATTATTGCAAAGTTTCTTGACCGTTAGTTTATTGCAGTCCAACTCCTCTACACATCGTCCCTACAAAGATCTTATTCTACTAAGAGCCACGTAGGCTTGACCTTCTTCAAACAGTTTCGCACCTAAGTATACGACTGTCTGATCCACAGTGCTACCCTGCATTTTATGTATTGTAGAAGCCCATGATAGTATTTTATTTTAAATATTGAGGTTGTATAGTGCACAGTATTCTTCTTGTCAAGCCCCTTTATTTGATACCCATATTGGTGGGATTGATGAAAAATTGTTATAACCCATTTGGGGGCGGCGACCATCTTGATATCCATGTTGATAGAATTGATAAATCTAAGTTATCCGCCATTTTGTTGAGTCCGCCAACTTGAATTTTAATTTTATATAGTACATTGTATTCTACTGAGCACTGAGCACTTCAGCCGTTTTATTTGATACCCATATTGATAGGATGGTAACCTACGTTACCCGATATTTTGTAGCGGCCGCCATCTTGGATTTCAATTTTTAAAAGTAAATTGTATTCTGCTTATTGAGCTCTTTCATTTGATACCCATATTGATGGGATTGATAAAACCTAAGTTATCCGCCATTTTGTAGCGCCCACCATCTGGGATTTATAACATAATTGTATTGTCACCAATATCCAAAGTGTGTACAAAATTTCAGATTAATCGGTTGACAGGAAGATGGTGACATCACATGCCCTATAAATTACCAGCATTCCACAACAATGAATAATTTTTACAAACTTTGCAATGCAAAATAATTAAGCAGTGGATAACGCAGTAAAATGTGAGAAGGTCCGATTACGAATTCCAATGTCGCGCCAGCAAACAAAACAAAGAAAATATAAAATACGAAAAGTGTGCGACCACTAAGTTCTTGAGTTCAACCCCTTCAAAAGGCAAACAAATAACGCATGAAAAATTGAAGTATTGATCTATTCGATTGTCAACTCTATTCTCTATTCGGCTCGACTGAAGCAATATTTAGTGAGAAAGGAATACAACCGATTGGCTTGGGTGTAAATTCAATTTTAGTTTTTATTTAAAAATATGTTTCTTAAGTACTACTGAAACCAGTCTAACTTAACCTAATCCCAGCCACACAATTATTCTTATCTATTCTAATATTGAATGGAGAACATTGCAGGGCTGCTTGACATTTCATTTAAGTGGTCTTGTACATCTACTGAGCGCATCGATATCTGCGCGTGCGACTCATAACCTTTATAATCTCACACATAACCTTTATAATCTCACACATTATACTGATATTTTATGGCTGCTGGGAAATATGTAATTTTAGGATATTTGTTGCTTATTGCTAGATTTTCCCAGCGCCTCGACCGCACTCAAAAGTATGTACAAAGTACTTTGTAGACTAATGTTACAAAAACGGCTCCCTTTTATTCTAATTTACTGACCATTGGTATCAGTGTTGCGCATACTTTCAATGACATGCCTATGTAAAAATATAGGGTTAGGATGCTGCTTTGTAAGTAGTTAAATATTAAGTAAAAAGTATTCAATTATTTGGCAATGAGATATTTTTGGTGTGTGCTTAATGCTTAATAACTTTATATATTTGGAAATTATACTATTTTTAATTAATTACCGATTTATTGAATTAATCTGAACCATTCAGACCTGTGGGAAGGACAACTAAAATTGTTTACGGACTTACAATTTTATTTAGAATTATTAGGGATAACGCGGTAATGATTGAAAACCTGCGATTACAAAACCCAATGTAGATGGCTCAAATGCCCGCTCCACCAAATAAAAAGAATTCCTGCGTAGCTAAACCTTTTTGATTTTCTGTGGAAGCTCAACTAAAATTATTTGTATACCGGCCACTCGTTACCGCGTTACCGGCCCGTAGTTTTAGTCTTTAATGCATAGTTTTTAAATCATAATAATTCACAGATCTGGCTCACATAATTGACACAATTTTTAATATAAATGATGACTTGACTAAATAGAATTAAATACGCATAGCAAAACTGTCAACAGAGGTTCACGTAAAGGACGATTTATAGTGTTTCAAAAAACCTGATCCTATTTTTCAGCCGTAGGTTTTACTTTGAGAGGTAAAATCCTAAATAACAAATGACATATATTAAAAAATATACATTAACTGTTTTTAATAGCCCCATGTAAAATTGTTCTCTACCCCCAAAGTAGCCTAAACACACATTTTAAGCTAAATCGATTCGAAAATGTAATCAAAACCCTCGAAATAGGTAAAATCAGGAGGTGCTTTTATATGGGCGCTTCTCCGAAACATTGGCATTGACCCTTAGAAGCTAAAATGCCAAATAATGGTAAAATCAATTGAAAAATGTATCCAAAACGCTGGAAATAGCTGAAATCAGCGGATACCTTCATATAAGTGTTATACCAAAGCATGGTCTTATTCTTATAATTATTTAAAAGAATGTGTTGTTCTTTCTAAAATCTTATATTACCAACATTTAAGGAATTTGAAAGGGACTATATCATTTGAGGGTGGCTATATGACAATGTAGATCGACCTGATACATATTCTGTACAAATGATTCTTCATGTAACCCCTAGAATCAAATTTAAAACTCTATTCTTTTCCTAAATTATTGTGTTTGATTTTCTGTGTTATGTTATTTCCATCTTCTTCATTACACCATTTCGTAATCATGCACCTTTATTTATATTCCCCTAAGCAGAAGTTGGTATTTAGCAAAGCTACCCACAGATATTAGGGTGGCCTAGTGGTGACGCGTTCGCTCTACAACCCCGGGGATGTAGGTTCGAATCCGGAACAGGGACATACATTTTTTTTTATTATTTTCGTGACTTCTGTTATACAATGCTTTAGATGTTTAAAGAGACATCAGTACATATCCCGGCTATGTGTTTGTGAGATTACTTGGGAACAATTCTCCACCTTCCCTATATCCAGCAATGTTATAGGTTATTGAGTTCTTTTTATTTGTTTCGGAATTCTCTCCTATACAAGTGGTGAAAACTAAAACCCATGATTCTTCATGTAACCCCTAGAATCAAATTTAAAACTCTATTCTTTTCCTAAATTATTGTGTTTGATTTTCTGTGTTATGTTATTTCCATCTTCTTCATTACACCATTTCGTAATCATGCACCTTTATTTATATTCCCCTAAGCAGAAGTTGGTATTTAGCAAAGCTACCCACAGATATTAGGGTGGCCTAGTGGTGACGCGTTCGCTCTACAACCCCGGGGATGTAGGTTCGAATCCGGAACAGGGACATACATTTTTTTTGATTATTTTCGTGACTTCTGTTATACAATGCTTTAGATGTTTAAAGAGACATCAGTACATATCCCGGCTATGTGTTTGTGAGATTACTTGGGAACAATTCTCCACCTTCCCTATATCCAGCAATGTTATAGGTTATTGAGTTCTTTTTATTTGTTTCGGAATTCTCTCCTATACAAGTGGTGAAAACTAAAACCCATTGGAATGTTAGCATTTATAATCACAGTCCAGTGAAGCATCGTTCTTTCACATTTCTGGTGTACCAAAGAGAAGACTTGGTAATAAAAAGATCAAAGTGCGATTTAATAAAAAAAAACAAAAGTGAAAAAAAATTACAATTTTAGTGCCAATATTAATATTCTACCGCATCTGTGAATATTGTTACAATCATATTACAATCATAATATTAAAACCAATTATAAACTCTCCGCATGAACATTGCTTGAGGTAATTTTTTTTGGAAAAATTATGAGTTTTTGGCAAAGATTTAAACCAGTGTTTTCTCTTATTAAGTTGGAGCACAAAAAGTGAAGTTGGGTCATTGAAATTATCGCCGTGAAATTATCTATTATATATAAATCATGATAAGTACATTTAAGAATTATTACTTCATCCCCTAACATATGCAACCAATTTTGAATTTAATGAGTGCTAATATTAGACCTTACAGCTATAAAACTACACTCGAAATAAACATATTGATCCTGATGAACATACATACACACATATATCATCGAGGCCTCGGCGATCATCTGTGAGCAAAAAGGATAATGAATGAAAAATCCCT